GGGGGCAGATGCGAGGGAGACCTCAGTGTACGTTCGTTAAAAGGAGCAAAACATGTTTTTGTGTGTTTTTAGGGCGTGTGAAACAGAGGGTGCATTTAACTGTCCCTGATGCACCGGCGTCGTCGTCCACCAAAAGAGGCCGTTGCACTTTGGCGCCTTTTACGACCGATTCCGACGGCAAAATAATCGTTCTGCGAACTGCCTTATTTCATGTGAAGACTTTAGGCAAGGACCGCTAGGTCAGCCCGACTGGCCAAGTGGCCGGGGTGCATGCGTGCGTGCGTGCGTATATGTAGAGAGAGAGAGAGAGAGATAGAGAAAGAGACAGAGATGCGAAATGCAAGATGAACACATACATCTACGAATGTCTGCTGGCTAACTCCCTAATTCGTAACTTTCCCAACCCGGCAGCACGCGTGTCGGCGATACTTTGTTGAGTCGGAAACATGTGCAACGCAAAAATCCCCTCTACCTTTGCACCAAAACCACCAAAAAACAAAAGAAAGAAGCGCGCACACACACAATATTGCGAGAAGCGAAATGTGAGCAGGTTGTCTGTAGCCTGGCGAGACGCAAAAAGCGGCGCTGAAACCCTTTCCGAAATATGACAGCGGCAACAGCAACAATAATAATGAAAATAAAAAGAACACAAGAAAAACGGGAAGCGACGCTCCCCGGACGGGAGCAAGGAGCAAGGCCTGCGCAAATTTCTATAACGCCCTTTTACAGTCGTTGTTTTCTGACCTGTTTTTTTTTTTAAAGCCCGATGAGACGGGCGAAGAGGTGTGCGCCTATATACAAATGCGGTCGGATGGTCATCTCTCAGGATCCGCGACGGAAGGGCGAGAGGATGGAAATGGGGGAAAGGGGAGGGGGGAGGACCCCGTTAACATGTCAGTCACGTGCAATGCCAGCCATTAGTACGGATGGTGCCCGATCGTGCCGCACTCAAGTACCCCGACAGACAGGCACTCACACTGCTCTTATTTTCCTATCAATTTCTGCACGGAGAGAGATGAAGATAGAAAGGAAAATAGAAGAATGGGAAAGGGGGCCGAAGAGAGAAATGTTTAAACAGGAAGACAGTTGTTCCTGTACACATTTATTAATGCGACCATGTACTTGTAAACATTAATTGAAGTACGCGTCACATGGAATAAGGGACTTGGTTTCCAAGCAAAAGGTCTTGGAAATTAACACATTTTGCTTGGAAACCAAGCAGCTACTTTTAACGTGCATGTACACCTAAGGTAAACGTTCCATGTACACCTCATTTAAAGTATGCCATCCACACATTTGAACTGATCGGAACTGATAGAGTGGCAGTTAGTTCCTTTATGCAACTGATGCGTGCTCACCTGCTAGCGACTGGCGCACGGTGAGGATGAGGACCAGCGCCGCCGTGCACCACAGCCACGTCGCCAGGCTGGACGCCCCGGGGGCGCCCCTATGTTGTGCCATGCGTCGCGGTGCGTCCTGCAACACGGGAGAAACACATATTTAGAAAATATCTAAAAGCAGAGGGACGCAGCAAGACAGCAATGTGGAAAAGAGGACCGCACACTACAACTACCCGGATGCAGTTCGAGCCAGCAGTGTTACATTACCACGTTTACAACAGCGGGCATCTATTTCTAATATGAAGTTTGTTGAAGTTGAGGTCCTGTTTAAATTTTTAGAATATATTTACTGTGTGATTTTGGATGGGGGCCGGGGTAACATACAACACAGAGCATAGTAGGATCACCAAGTGGACGAGTTTAGACTTACGCCAAAAATGGCCGTGTCCCCGTTCGCAGCTGGTCGTCTGCGTATTTTTCCAGGCCATGCATTTAGACTCGGTGGGGGCGCAGAGCGACAGAACAAGGGCCCGATCTAGATGGAGCAGCGACAGCTTCAGCGCTGCCCTTAACAAGTCGCGCAACGCTACTTTATTTTTAAACCGGAATTTTAAATTTGACGTCATTGTGATATCGCAGAAGCCTTATTTCCACCGAGTGAGACAGAGATAGAGAGAGGGGGAGGGGGGGTCGGGTCCAGTGGTCGTTGCCTGGTGCCTCTCCACGCACCCGTCCCTCTCGCAGCCAATGAGCAGCCGTGCTGTACGCCTTATACAGTAAACGCACATGCAGCCATATGCTAAAGGCGCACGCCCGTTATAATACAGTTAGGAAACCTAACCCTCCCCGGCCGGCAGGGCTGGGCTGTGGGCCGCAGCGCTTGTCTAACAAAACGAACATACAGAGATACGCTCATACGTCTGCCCCGCGAGCGCGCCTGGCCGCTCGTGCCGCGGCGCCTGCGCAGAGGGGCCTAAAAGGTCGCCGGGTATGTAAATGCGTGCGTAATAGTTTTCTGCGGGGGGTTCATGAACTTCTCGCTGGCCGCCGGGATGTGTGCCATCCGGGTAGCGCGGCGCGGCAGCGCGGGGCTGCTGAGGTGCAGTGCCATGGACCACTGTTCCACATTTCGGCCCCGGCCGGGCAGGTCCCCGCGGCTCCCCGCGGCTCCCGCCACACGACACGAGGATGAGGTTCGCTGCTACCGCGCCGCTTGGCACCGGGGCCCCATGAGGTGTGCCTCCTCGCGAGCAGCGGAAGGGTTTGAAAAGCGAAACGATCCGTGTCGTGCGCCGTGCAATCGTGAGTCAAAGCACACTATGAGCTGTCTTGTTTTACTTTCAGACTGTCTCGGCCGGGCCGGGGGGCGTGGCGTGGCCATGTGCAGCCTTGAACTGCGGGCCCGGAGTTCATACAGAGCATGAGCAGCGAGTCTGTGTATATGTTTGCATTTCCACTCTATTGTGTTTGACTTTTCGCTTTTCTCGCTGTCTATCTCTTTTTTTCCCTTCTTCCTCCATTCCGCTTGCCCCCCACTCGGCTCCAACTCTTCGCAGGAATCGGCTTATCGTCACTTTTGATTGCGGGAATTTCTGCTGGGGTGCTCTCCATTCCATGCGCCGAAGAAGAATCACGCGGCAAGGCTAAAGGGAAAAAAAGTAGTACACGACGAACTAAGGGATATGGTCAGTAAGGTTTCGTTCGCATCTTGCAGTCATCGACGTAAATAATTGCATGGTCGGTAATAAGACGAATTCGATGGGAATGATTTCCACTTTCGTGTCGGTCCCGGAAGTATATCAATTTTCTTCAACGTAAAACAAAACAAAAAAAATCCAGGCCAGGGAGTACATGCTTGTCAGCTCGGTCCACGACCTACAACGACGAGCCCATCCTCCTTGTCCATACCTCTTTTTCCTGTCAAAGTGCAAGGTAGTTCCTCAAACCCTGTCAATCCGGCAATAATGACCCACGGCACCGTCATTAGCGCGGCGAGAGCGGCCAAAGCAGATGAGGAAGCGAGAAAGGGGGAAAAAAACAAAAAGCAAAAAAAAAAAAAAAAAAAAAACTTAAAGTAGAGGACGCCGGAAGACGGCACTCCAAAAAGGCAACACGCAATACTACGGCATCGCGGCGCGCAAATGCAAGCAGCGCACCGCCCCGCTCTAGAGCGCGTTCCCATGGCCTCGCCCCGCCCCGCCCCGCCCCGCTTCGAGCAGCGCTCCGCCACGGCATCATGTGCATCCAATCCAAAATAACAGTCTCCATTTCGGCGTCCCGCGAGCGTGGCGGACGAGATGCAGAATGCGCCCGCGGACTGGGCCGTGCGAGAGAGAGAGAGAGAGAGAGAGAGAGAGAGAGATAGAAAGGGAGAGAAAGAGAGAGAAAGAGAGAGAAAGAGAGAGACTGCCACCTCACACGGTTCGCTTTGCTTCCTCTTTTTCATTTTGATCCATTCACCGCACTTTTTTTCCATCACTCTGTCGATAAAGTTGAAGACGGCCTGCCGCCTAGCGTGCCGTAGTGTGTCCGCAAAAGACATACGAGGCCAAAGGAGCACTGCCAGAAAACGCTCTGGAAAAGGGAAATTGTTTACTAAGCAAGCATAACTTCGTGTAGTCAAATCGACCAATCGAATTGCTGGAGGATTTTCGTGACACTCCTGTACGAGTTGTTTGCTTGGAGCAAATCCTGATATTTAATTAGGACAACTTGCATCCGTGCTGCAAAAAAAGTTTGCGTAAACAATAAAGCAAAATATGGGTATAAAACGCCACCTTTCTCATCGGGACGAAATTGTCCTTTTCCAACTTCAGCTTCTGTCCCTTAGCATCCCCCCCCCCTCTCTCCGTCTTTCTCTCCGCGAAACACAGACGCGCGCGAATGTACCGGGTTTGTCGATCGGCACAGCGCAGCAGCGGGATCGCCGTGAAGTGGAAGGTGAGGGGAGAGGGGGGGGGGAGGGGGCGGGGCCAGGGGGTATGTCTCTTGTACTGTGCAGCTGGTACGGGACGGGGGACGGGCGAGACGGGACGCGGCGGGAAGCGCTGGAGGCCTGCGCGGGGCTGGACTGGACTCGCCTTGGCATTGGCAGTGAATGTAGGTCGCCGAGCCGCACGCGTCACGTGACTAACAGCACACACACACACACACGCACACGTTTGGTAAGGCGCGTCCTTAGGCACCCCCTGACAGTATGCCGATGTCAACAAATCAAGAGGAGAAGGGAGAGAAAGAAGCGGCATAATTAATGTTTGTATCGCACAGAGTCAACACACTGAAAACTGGGGAACCTTCGGATATGACGATGCGTCTCAGGACCACTGTACGGATGGAGGAATGACGTTCGAATCGGCCACGTTTCGACAAACATAACGGGGTGACACGGGGTGACACGGGGTGACAAGCGTGTCACTCTGTAGTTTTCAGCGAGAAACAATAAGTTTACAATGTGGGCTGTGGGCATCATATATGGAAGTAATGGAATTACAAGACAATCCTTTCCCGTTTCATTTTTATTCGTTTTGAACTCTTCCCTTCATATTGCAGCAGACCCTGCGTCGCATCTCCCTCTCTCTCTCCCTCTGTCCCGCATCTCGCGCGCGCTGCCCTCCCGTTACCTTTCGCACGATGAGCAGTTATCTTTCACACAAGACCCGGAAGCCCCGCGGAGGACCCCGGCGGCGGCGGGCCACTCGCCACTCCGCATAGCACGTCCCATCTAAGCTCGGCCGAGACGAAATACAAACGGCGCCGGGCGAAAGTGGCGCCGCGGCAGGGAAATGTGGGCTCCTATGTGGGGCGGAGCCGGGCCGAGCCGGGCGAACCCGGGCGAAGCCTTATCGCAGACGAAAATCCAGCGCCGTTACACCGCGACCGCCGCGCCGGGTCGGATCGGGTCGGATCGAGCGCGAGTGTCAGGGGGTCGTTCCCATATAATGCTAGGTGATTTGATTTTTGGGGAGCGCGGAGGGGGAGTAGGGGGG